ATGTCCAGATTCCTCCTGTGGCACTCCTTGGCTGTCATTCCAGGCACCACAGCTTGGTTTTCACAGTGTCTGTGTTCACAGCACATATTCACAGGTATTTAATGCACTCTCTTACACTACCTTACCCTCAGACTTTCCACAGTACTCACTAGCTCTGTGGATGTAATTTTCATTTCTGTCAATGGAATGTATGAAAGGAATATAAAAAGGGCCATAAAGAACCACAATGCTGCTTGGAGACAGAAGTCTTGCCCAGGGTGAACAGCTTTCATTAGAGGGAGCAGGAAGTGCAAACATGATGTCAGAGCTACAGAGATTATCTGTATACATGGTGTTATCATTTAACCCAAACAAACAGCAGGGAAAGGCTCACCCCCTCCCTTTGAAGACAATAGACAGTTACTAAATTGGACTTGTAATGAAAGCCATTTTCAGTGAAACACAAGATATGTGCAACAGTTGGTCCAGAAATGAAAATCTGTTATAACAGCCAAAAGTCAAAGGCAGCTATAAATACAGGCCTTAATCTTTTCAAGAATCCCTTAACGAAGCCTATAAAACTGATTGTATCTTCAGGCCTAACTCAAGTGCAAATTCTTACTCAGAAAAATGTAACAGCCCTGCAAATATGACTTGGAGAGTAGTACAGGGACAAGAAAGGAGAATACAGAGTGCATGCTCATCTCTTGGAATACAAATTACATTGCATTAAGAATAAACAATTAATGAGACAGCAGAAGCCTCAGCTACAGGTCCATTTTTCTGAGAGAGAAACAATTTCCAGAAGCGGTCGGAGCGGGATGCAGAAACACTGCATCTTTCCTTTTAACACAACAGAAATGCTCTTTGATTATTTAAAAGCCAATTGCAAAGATCTGTCTTCAAAACCTCCTATTGCAGGTTTAATAGCAAAGAGGTGCAAGTACACTTACCAGCAACACGGGAGTAAAGTACAGACTTTTGTTTTAACAAAATCTATATTTATACGATTACATTTCCTATGGTTGAGGGCAGCTGTAATTAATGGATTTCCCTCCTTCCCCTAATGCAGTCATTTGTCAATTTAAACACAGAATGCCCAATCAATTTTGATGTATTTAGTAAGCAATTTGTCAGAGTACTGCACACCAGTTAATATATTAATTCTTGTCACTGGCCCACTTCTGACAACTGTAGGCTGTGTCCATGAAATTGGTCCTGATGAGCCAAAAATCTTGCTTGGAATGTGAAGGTGTCCTTTGCAGAGCCAGAGGAGAGAAATCAGATCTCAATCTATTCAATGTCTTTTTGGGGCAGTTTTTGGTCAGTTTTAGGGGGTTTATTCATTAATGTGTTAATTTGCCACGTTTCAGATATTGCCTCTACCTTCCAATAGAGAAGTGAATTCAGAGTGGAGAGATGAGGAGGAAAGGAAATAAATATGAAATTAGGATGTCAGACTTTCTGGTGATGCAAGGTTACCTATTTCCATGGCAATTCCATTATGTGCCATGAACGTGACTGTGTCAATTCAAACATGCAAAAAACATGTGAAAGGTACACAAGTCACACAAAGGAAACAAGGGATAAGTCAGGCAAATGTGCAAAACTTCAGGGCCTGGTGAAAGAGAGGAAAATATTCATTTGAAAGAAACCTGAACACAACCAGGATATTGTCATGGACATCTTAACAGCATCCTCAGGAGTTTATATAACCCAAAGCACCTTAATTCCTAAGTAGCAAACAGCAGGAAGAAGGCAGGATTAAAAACTAATTAATGACAAAACTTGGCAATTCTGTGGAGAAAGCTCTAACATTGCAAGTTCCTGTGGACACCAAAACCCTCCTGTGCACACGTGCAGTGCCTGGCACAACTCTCCTCCCACTGCCAGGACAGTTTAACTCCACCACATGATGCTATTTATGTTATAGCAAAAACATCTAGGAAGAATAAAATGTGACTTAGATTCCCTTCTCTGGTGGTTAGATTTGGAAGTTGCTCAGGACACAGGTGAATAAAGAGGGAATATTAGAGACACAAATAAGGTAGAATACTATGTATTAAATGTGAGGAGTGAAGAGAAATATCTGATACCTAAAACCCAGCACTGAAAACCTGAGGATTGTCATTAATCCAGGGGTCTGTGGGATGGACTCACGGGAACAGTGAGCCTGGAATCTGCTCTTTCAGAAGCAGCTCTCAGGACTGGAGATACTCTCTCTGACCCACTGCAGAGTTTGCAGCAGGATCCTGACACTTCCTGCAGGCCAGCAGGTTGTGGAATTTAACATGCAAGCTCACTTTCAAGCCATGAACTTGGAGAAAGCTGTAAATCCCTCACTTGCCACTTTCTCACCTGTGCAGCAGCCCGAGCTGTGGTAATGTGCTCAGGTAGACACGAGCTGCACACATTGATGCAGGTTTCTGCAGCAGATGTCACAGATGACCTCAAAGCAAGAAAACAGCTGTGCTGATCCACTTACAAATACCCTTGGGATAAAGGTCTTGGACACTTGTTGTACAAAACATTTCTTCAAACAATGGTTCCTTGTTCCTTCCTTTCTAGCTGCAAATAAAACTTTCAGATTCTTTAAAAATATTAAAAGCTGAACCATGTGTTGATAACCTAAAGCAGGATTTTTTGAATATTCTCTGTTTAGCACAAGAAGTCACCGGCCTGGTTTATATTTTTCAAAGACTAAGGAAGATTTTGGCCCTGTGTTTTGGCATCAAACCTCTTATTTATGAAAACCTGGCCGTGCAGCCCTCCAAGCAGCCTGCCAGACGTCTCATTGTTCTGCCCGGCTGCTGACAGAGGTACTCTGTGCTAAAAAGCACACTGAGGGTTTTTCAATGACCCAGGGGGCAAAGGTCACTTATTATAAATGGATAATGAGACCTAATGCAATGTTCTGAGTGTGGACAAAGAAAGGGTCTATCCATACCCCCTTGTGACTTGGTCATTCAGGCTTTTATTTCCCCTGCACACTTAATGGAGCCAAACAATCGGCAGAAATGCTATACAGAAACGGAGAGAAACTGCTGCATTCTACCTCCAGAGACAGCTACAAATAGTGACCCTGAAACGGCGCCAGGCTCCTCTCACACTGACGTGGCAGACAGATGGACCAGCCCCCCTCAGCCCCGGCTGAGCCATTTGCTGGCAATTAGAGCCCCCCGAGGAAGAGAGCACAGCAAAGGCAGGCTGCGGCGAAAGGCAGCCCAGGGCAGAGCTGCAGGTAAGCAGAGCCTGAGCTGGGCTTAGGAGCTCTTTAACAGGTGGCTTTTGTGGGAAAGATGCTTGGACTCCATTGTTGGGGACTTCACTGAGGAGCTTCAGCCTGAATAAATCCAGAAGACAAAAGTTCAAAGATAACCAGACACAAATTTCACTGTTATTGCCGTTTGAATGATGTCCTTTAGATACTCTGATGTCTTCTATTATTCTTTCCATTTCATATCCAGCTTAAAGAACTCCTAATATATGAATTAAAATCTGAGTTAAAAGTCTAATAATTCCAATAACACAAGTTCTTTAATTGGCCACGTTTCAGATACTGCATCTACTGTGCAACGGAAAAATAAATTCAAAGTGGAGAGATGAGGAAGAAAGGAAATAAATATGAAATTAGGATGTCAGACTTTCTGGTGATGCAAGGTTACCTATTTCCATGGCAATTCCATTATGTGCCATGGACGTGATTATGTCAATTCAAACATGCAAACAACATGTGAAAGGTACAGAAGTCACACAAAGGAAACAAGGGATAATTCAATCAAATATGCAAAACCCCTTTAAGTTCATTAATTTGCTGGAATTTAGCTACTACTCAATCTTCTTTAAAAAGTTTTCAGTACTAAATGATTTGAAATACATTGTATACTGTACTGTGTAACAGTATTTGAGCTGTTAATAAAACACACAATACTCATCTCTGGTTTCACTAGGTGGGATAGAAGTACAAGTGAAACAAGGCAGGAATCTAGCAAAAAAAAATCCAGCCAAAATGCAATCTAATGGTGCTGTGCACTGCCAAATACTTTTTCATATTCTTTTGTGCCCTTTGAGTCTTATCCCAATTTTCTGTGCAGCACAGAAGAAGGAAGACTCAAACTTTGCAGGTTTCCATAACTCTCAGATGCAGCAGATGGACAGGTAGAAGCAGCAGATCCAATCTGGCACCAGTGTCCCTTTCACCAGTCCCATCCAAAGAGCCTCCTGGCCCACATGGCCACTTGGTGCATCTCAAGTGCCCCTGTCACATAAAGCTGCCTGCACTGACAACTGTGCACAGCTCTGGTTTCCCCTGGAGAACCTCACCAGATGCCAGAGCTGCTCCCTTGTGAGACTTCAACTGCTGCATCACTTTGATCCTAGGCAGAACAGAGACCTGCCCCTCACTGTTAGCACTCCTCTCTCTTTTAAATAGTCAAATAAAAGAGAAATACTCATTTTTCCACAAAACCATTATAAAATTGTGTGGGTTTGTATTATAGATATATCACATATAGAGAGCTATAGGTGTATGAATGGTTCTGAATATGCCATGCCACAAAATATTGGCTCCCTGGGAATGTGGCTGGGCAAGACACAGGCCAAGGCAGGTGGGCAAACATCCCTGGCAGCAGTGCCAGGGCTCCTGAGGGAGGCAGCTGTCTCAGACTGTGGCTGGAAGGAGCCCAGCAACCAGGAGTTCCCAGGGAAAGGGAAATGCAGATGCACTCATTACTGGGTATGGAATTCACAGGAGGAAATGGCTAAAAGCATGAGAAGGAATGAGGTGAGGAAACCCTGAAGATTTCATGGGATCTGGTGGGTGATTCTCACAGCCCCACAACTCAGATTCATGGCAAAAATCCCAACACTACATTCACTGCTCCATCCTTACGAACAGAGTTACACACAACCCTACTGTGGGGTTGAACACCCACTGAAATTGGCTGAAAAATCAACTTGGAAAATCACCCTCTGCTCAAAACGTGCACATGAGACAAGACAAGAAGTTGTCAGCTACTCACAGCCAGCCAGAAGATACTGGTAGTACTGCACAGCATCTGCAGCCAGGAGCAGTGGATGGTTTGCATTAAATGGTGGTTGGAGTTCATTCCACTGAGGAGTTCTGAGGTAAAACACAAGACTATTAATATTTCAGCTAATACAGAGAATGTAAATCAGTGTTTCTGTCATCACATGCAATTATCTATACAAGCTCACAAAATGTTTGTAATTATTTAAATTAGCTTGTTCAAACACTGCAATCCACCACAGGCAGTGGAGCAGCAGGGCCAAATCGTGCAGATTGTGAGGCAAAGACAATACTTGGTTGTTGACTGCAGCAGGGATTGCATTAAAAAAAAACCCAGGAAGGAGGTTTAGATTAAGTTGGTAAATATGTTTAGGACCATTGTATGTCATGCTGACGTTATATAAACACACAAGAGAAACTGGGGAACTTTTTTGTTCTGTTAACTACCACTGCTTCCATCCTGTGAAGTCATTGAGCACTTACTGTGAAAATAAAGCTGTGTAAAGTTATGGATTATTGATCCAATTAGAATTTTCAATTCCATTACAACCTACTCATTTCAACAATAATGGTCCCGAAGTCTGTGTTGTAATTTTAATTAGGGTGGACCATTCCTAAATAGCTTGGTAAATCAAGTATTGATCACTCCAGTCCAGCCATAAGCAGCACTAAGGAATGTAGGAGCCAAGAAAAATCGATAGAAAAATATTTTAAAACGTCAAAAGCACTGACAACACTTTCTCATCAATTTTTCTTTACTTTCTTCCACATGTCAGGAATCATTTCTTCTACTGTCTTTAGAAATGGTACCTTCAGCTGCTCACAGGAAAACTCACAATGCTTCATTGTGGGAACCTTGCTCATGTCTCACAGCAGAATTCTGTACTTCAACACTACCAAAATAATCGTTCCTAGTCCTTATATAAAAAGAAAATTACAACCTGATCATTTAAAATCACCAATTAATAAGGATCTCTATTGATTCACAGCCATGCTCATGCCTAGCTCCACGTGCAGAGAAGGATTTAGAAGCTCAGTTCCCACTGAGGCACACGAACAGTGACAGAACTGTATGGAAAGCAAAGCTTGAATCTCTCTCCTCCAACAAAAAACTTTAGGAACCTTTACATGAGTGACAAGCACCATGGAGCTCATTCAAAAAGAAAGATCCCAAGCACGAAAGGAAGGCAGAGTCACAGGGATGAGGTACCTAACCAAAGTCCAGCTGGCCCTGGGGCAGGTGCCCATCTCCAGGGGGGTGTCGTCGCTGATCTTGGGCGCGGTGCTGAGCGGCCGCGGCTCCAGGACGTGCTCCACCAGGCTCCCGTAGCAGCTGATGATGTACAGGGACTCCACCACAAACTGCTTGGACTGATCTGGGGGCAGAAAGAGAGAAAAAGCTTATTGCAGCAGCAACGGGAAAAGCTTTGGCAGAAATAGCAGGCTCTGTGTTCTTTTAAGTCTCTTGCTCGTAGATAAGAATGTGAATTGAAAGTAGGAAAAGGGCTGGAGAGACAAAGAGAAAATGTACAAAACACACAATTTTCACACAATTGGAAGAATATCTCATACAAGAGAAGTTTCTCACCAAGGTGTGTTCTGGTGATTACACATTTACAAACACATCTTGTACATCTGCTTTGCCATTTGCTTTTGCTTTGCCTTTAGCAAAGGTGTTTCATCTTTATCTCATTTTTCTTTCAGTGTCACTTCACACCTTTGGACTGATCTATCAAAGCTGGGTTTCTGTCACTGTATCATAATAAAAGATCGATTATTCATTCCACTAATTAAAATTTCTTGTACATTTTACCAAAAGCACCCCCAAGCATGTTCCTGAAATTCTCGATTGCCCCTGAGTTTAAGGAACAAAATCCACAAATTGCTTAGAACCTGTCACAAAATACGAATTTAAGTTTAAATGCAAGTCCTAATTCTGTGAGGTACCAACCTTTTTCTCGTTTGAGACCAGAATTGTTTGCAAACCATGACCTTGAAGCTCCGAAGACTGCAGCGACACAAAACTCCCCTCCCACAGACTTACTGGGTGAAATCTGTGGAGCTGGTTTGGATTTGCTTTAAAGAAAGAACAAAATAAAATTATTATTATCAGTTAATTCTCAAAAAATTAAGATGTGCCTTGCTTAACAACAATTTTAAGATATTACTTCAGAAAAGGGGAATATCTGCAGATCCCACAAGGCTGAGCAGGATTTGCAGATGCTCAGTGTTTCCCAATAACAGGTCCCAAATTCCCCTGGAATACTGAACTCATTCACTTGAAAAACAGCACTGGCTCATAATGGAGAACTGAATTGTTTAAAAGACCCAACACCGAACATTTGCATTAAATAGAAACAACTTCTGAAGTAAATACAAAGAAATCCTGAATCCTTTGGGAATGAAAATACAGATTCTGGGTCAGCCATTCCAGGTCGAGATCTCCTTGTCTTTTCCAAAGGAAGTCAGGAACAGCCAGGGGATGTGAGTGACACAGGGTGGCAGGGAAGGACATGCAGAGGGTACAGGAGAAGGAAAGGATGCACACACTCATGAGCCACTGTTAGAACACAGCAGGAATTCTGTCATGGAAAAGCAGACTGAGGCACTGTGCCCTGAGCCCACGATGTGCATGGAGCAGAGCCAGGGGGTGAGGATGTTCACTGAGACATCCTGAGGTGCTTCTCCTCACAGGGACCTGCAGGTTTCTGCTCTGCACAGCTCAAAACTATGGGCAGAGCATTGTCCATGCCCCAATTCATTAAATCAGGATTTCACCCTTTCCTCAAGACAAAAGCTGTTTGATGAATCCATGCAGGATTCTTCTTTCTTCATGTTCCCCTTGTTCTAGTCCTTTTCATTGAATTATTTTATATTTTTCTCTCTACTCTATTTCACTGCTCCCTTCTCTTCCTACCCATCCCTCCTTTACATTTTTCTTTCTACCAATTTCTTCTCCTGCACAATTTCAGCCTGTCATCAGACCATCCCATTAACCTGGTTCTTACATAACAATCTCCAATTCTGAGAAGTGTGTGCACAGGTGTATGGAATTCAACATAGAAGAATATTTTTAAACAGCAGAAATCAATTAAAACACTGCATGGTTTTAATGATATTTAATTTATGCTAACAGATCATACACATGGCAAGCCTATGGTCACATGGACTTGGATCAAGCTGAAACTTGTACATGTGGGAGAAGCTGGAATGTCCCAAAAGAGCAGTTGGAATTTATAGTCAGTAACTCTGGTATTGAACCACCACAAAGCACTTAATATCCAACTGTTAAACCTACAGCTACAGATGACTGGGTCAGAAATCTGTGTTCCAAAAAGATCCTGCCTATAAATGTATTCCCTTGCTTGCAGTGGCACATCATATTTCTATATTAGAATATTTAAATTGTGATTGTGCTAACTAATAAGTTTATATTAGTCACTTAGAAAAAAAATCAGAATGGATTTCTTTCACTTTGAAATAATCATCTACCACAGAAAGAGTATTTTTAACCTAACTGTATCTTGAGAATTATTTTAGCTCTCACTTTTCAAGTATTCACATACTCATATTCCTTCAGAAATGAAAACATAAATGTGTCAGTGAATTAGTGTCTTGTTGCTTACTTCAATTAATAAATTATTGGATTTAATACAGAATTCAGGACAGTGTCACCCATCAATCACTACAGAGCAAACCAGGAGCACAGGTATGACTCTGCCACATTCACTTCCTCTTGACAAAAGATCTTTCTATTCTGTCGTATATTCTTAATATTCTCAGTTTTCACTGAACAAATTCTGAAGTTATTAAAATTATTTTTCAAGATTAATGAAATAATTTCAAATGGAAAAAAAAATTGCAAACAACTGCTATTCTCAGCTACAAACTAGAGTAAAGTTCTACGGAGACAGAATTGCCTTCAAGCCTTGAAGCAGAAGTGAACCTGGGACTCAACACATTTTTCCAGAGTCCCCAGACCTGTGTTCGACCAAATACAATTATAAACAGCCTTAGAGGAAATGGTCTGAGCTCAGTTCTATTTACATCTTGTCTTTAGGATGTGCATCTTTCAAGGCAAGCACTTAAGTGTTGGTTTCAGTGCCAGGAGCTTTTCCCTTCGAGGATGATGTTGTGTAGACAGAAAGAGCAGACCTTGTAAAACACGATTACTCATGTGGTTAAACTCAGCCCTGCTAGCAAACAAAGACAAGCAAACAAACAAAAAAGATTTGTGCATCTTATTGGTTTGGACAGATTTCTGAAAATGCTGCTGAGATGTCAACAAGTCTATTTTGAAGTCTCTTGTAGCTGAGGAATCTTTCATTTGAGCATCATTTTTCTCGATTCCTGAGTTTTCATCAATACATTCCAACACAAATTTCATTCCTCCAGCAAACCTCCAAAGCCCAGTAATTTTCAGTAACAGTAATGCCATTAGAAAAATATCTTTACATGTCACTGGGATATTTTAACAACTTGGAAACTATAAATCCTCATTATTCTTCAGATGCAAACACCCTCTCAGCTTTATAAATGATAACAAAACAATAATGTTGAAGGTAGGTGGTGAATGACTTGTTTCTGCTATGAACTCCTGCTCTTGCCTTGCTCTTGGCTTGTCAGCACTTCATAAATTATTCCAAGAGCTGAAATTTAGGCACATTTGGCCTCACTTTTACAAAACAGTTACTTTAAAAGAATTTTCATCATACAGTAACTTCCAAAAGATTGTACCATAGTTTTCCTGAGAAGGGATGCAGAAAGAAATTCAGATTTTTGGGAGTCAATGCTAAAACCAAGGCAGTGAAGCACACAGGACCAAAACATTCCCCATTATAATTTCACTCCTCATTTCTCCTAAACATTAGGAACAACAGCTTTGCATTTAAGACATCAGGAGGATGAAAAGGCAGCTTACTTTTTCCTCTCTGGATCTACTCCACTGTGCAACCACACCTGGGATTCAGTGAGACACAGCAGTAGTTTCAGCCCAGTTAGATCTGTACAGAAATCTAAATCAGGAATAGAATGTATCTGGGGAAATTTGTATTATTATTAAATGATCTAACATAATTTTGGAGGATTATTTCTACCTTAAATGCAAAAGCACCAAGATGTAGATACAGAGTTGGCCATGACATTCTCTATTGAAATGGCACAAAAGGAGATGGGAGGAAACTGAAGAAGAAAATGAAGACATCACTTTGTCAGAGCTTAAAAAGCAATGAAGAGCCTGAGCTCAGCATGAGAGTTCTTTCATGTTGCCAACACAGTAAGAACAGATTAAGACCTACTGAAACCATTCAGAGCTCCCACTTGTCGACTTTGTAATACATGAAACTCTGCCATAATCTCTGGAAATGCATTGTGGTAGCTCTTTGTAAAAACACTAAATAGTTACTAATAATTTAATTAGTTTACATACTAACTAAATATTATTATTTAACTAGTAAGAATTAATACACAAAACAATTTAAAAACCAGAGCAGCACAGTTCATGATGGAGCTTTATGTCTCACAAAATTCTTCTAGCTCTTAAATGTATCTTTAAATCTATTGTCAAACAAGTGACATGAATTTAAAACAATAAATAAATTGTATATATGTGATATGAACGAGCTGCCTTATATATATATTCAAATATTTATAGTCAAATAGCACCAGTCTGCAAAGATTTAAAATTGCTTTGATTTTATATTCCCAACAAATATATAGGCTCCAAATATATGAGATTCATGAAAACAAAAGCACTTATGCCACTCTAAACCCACTGAAATGGAAACATTTATGACTGCTGATGGAAAAAGTTTTATCTTCACTACATAAGCAGCAACAAAAGTATCAGGGGAAAAATACTGCATGGAATTTGCATTTACACATGAAGTTACAAAAAAAAAAAATCTGTCTCAAAGTCCAGAAATTTTAATTCATTTATCATTGTGCCTAAAATGTGAAAACAAAGATGTTTCCAGTTGTCAGATCATGAATAAAGCAAGAAAAAGCACGAAAAGCAATGGTAGGATCCTTTATTCACCAGGCACTTAGCTGTCAAATCAACATCCAGTTTGTTTACAGAATTTTAGGTCTCATTAAGACCTTAATGGAAACAACATGATTTCTTCCCCCACCCAAAGTGTGTTTTTTATCCTAATTTCTCTGTAGATGAGTAAGGACCATATTTCTGAGCTAGCACTGGCATTAAACAAACCACAAAAAGAGTCTTGTGAAAGACAGGCAACAATTTTGGAGCCTATTTCATATATCCCCCTCTTTAATCTCAGCCTTTTAATCTTACTTCAATCTAAAACCATTGCTGGTTGACAACGTCTCCTGCTTCGTGCAGGGGTGACCCACACAGCCTTCGCTCAGAAATCCACTGCCAAAACTCTTCTTCCAGAGCCTCTGCACTTCTTAGATCACCACCAGGCAAAATTCTTTGGTGCACCATAAACTGTATTTAGAAATGGTTCTTAGGGAGGTACTTCAGGAGTTGGAAATTCTCCACAAATAAGGCAAAGTTTCTTCTCTTTCCTTTTTCCTTTCCTTTGCTTTTTTCCTTTCCTTTTTCCTTTCCTTTCCTTTCTCCTTCTCCCAAATCCCTCCTCAGTCTTTCTCTGGGAATTCTGTGTCCCACAAAGCTCTTAACAAGTTCTTTTCCTGAAGAGAATATTCTGATAGAGACATTGAGGATGATACACATGGTGCCAACTTCTAGAGCAAACCCAAGAGCCACGTACAAATATTCTAACAGATACTGGTGGGCATAGTTAATAGATACCCTTAGCTAAATTAAAAACAAAGAGAAAATCCCAAAGCCACAGAAAAACCCCAAAAACCCAAGCCCCAGAAACTTCTTGATGGAAGTTTTAAAATTTTCTAAGATTCCTGTTTCTTCCATTCTTATTATCCAAAACTTCCACCATCTCAGCCCAATCCTGTTATCAAGTGGTGACTGAGGTGATGCAGCACTGCCCAAATACTGAACCAAACTCCAACATCAAAAAACTTGTTAAAACTTGCTTTTTCTCTTGTCTGCATTTTTTCACATTAAAATGAAACCCCCTTTTATTTCAAATATCCCAGTTTTAACAGATCTGTTTCCCATATTGGAACGAGATGATCTGGAAGATCTCTTTCACCCCAGACAGTTCCATGACTTTTTTTCTCCAGAGTAATCAGCTTTCTTTTTTTTTTCCAGTACCCATTTTACTGCTTCACCTCTCACTGCAGTACTTTACTGCCTACTCACTGCTAATCTGGCTTATTTTTCAGAGGTCATCATCGATGTTTTCTGTCTGTAAGCAACTTAGTGCTACAATAATAAAGGAAGCAATATAGAAAAAAAAAAAGAGAGGCTTGTTTGGAAAGACATTGCAATCATTTCTGCCCACTTAGAAATAATTTATTTTTTCAACTTCCCTGCTACTTAAAAATTAAATGCACTCTCAAAGGTAAAAAGAAGGGGAAAAAAAAGTGAATTCAATTCTTTGCAATGCTTGATGGTGAACACGCATCCATAGTTTAAAAGTGAAATTATGTGCATGGAAACCTATGGATCAGCCATGCAGGTAAACAAATGAAAACAAAAAATTAATCCAAAATTAAAAAGTCTAAGCACAGAGTTATTTTCAGCAAGGACAGCAAATGGAGTATAGGCATGCTGGGTTTGAACTGGGAACTCACCAAGGAGCTTTTATGGAAAAACATCCTGCTCCAAACAGGTAAGGTCTTCACGGAAAGGGGAAAAATGCACAGAAATTAGATGAGAACTCAATTCCCAACAAGTACACTGTACATCATGCCATTAAGATTTATGCAGAAAGTGAACAGAATCGTTGTTAGAGCCCTTGCTGATGGCCTGGAGGAGCTGCCAGGGGAGCTGCAGTGCCCAGGGCACGGCCCCAGAGGTGGCAGCTGCCGGGAGGGCTCCGCGTGCCGCGACACGCGGGGACATCGGTGCAAGCTGGGCTCAGAGTTAGAGCTGGGCTTAGGCTCAGCTCAGGGCCCCCCTCCAATCTGCTGCCAAAGCTGGGGCTGCAGCAGATGCTGAAGTCACAATTGACAGGAAAAGGGAATTAGCATCCAAATCAGTCCTAGGTGGGGGTTTTCCATGGAACACTGAGGGGCTGAGCGGGGCACTTTTACAGAGTTACTGAGAGGAGGGCAAACAAAACCAACAGGTGCAATCAGAACTTTTAAGGACAATTATTCAGCCTTTTTCTAGGACAGAAACACCCCATAAAATTCAACTGTTTGACCCAGAAGTCTTCTCCTCCCCCTTAAAAGCTTGCACAGATGCAGGAAAGAGAGGCCTAACTTAGTTCAAATGTATTTGATGCTCAGTCACCAGATCTAGAGCTGAGTGCTTTTGGCCACCCAACAATTTACACCATGATTTGATTTCATGTTTTCTTCAAGTATTTTGCACAGTGGAGAGTTTTTAACCTGATATTAATCTGAGGGAGTTTTCAATGGATATCTCCCTTTAAAAAGCCATTGCCCTAGTGACATTTGCATGAAATCTGAAAAGGAGCAAAAGGAGGCAAATGTAAAGCTACTCAAAGGCTCAAGGCTTCTTTTGAGTCTCATTTGGGATGTAACATCATCCACAAAATCACTAAATAATTGATTTTGTAAATGCCAATGGTTCTGTTTTCTTTTCATGCTCTGACTCAGCAGTAAGTTCTGGGTAGTTGAAACAGGTGAAATATTTCCAGGCAATGAATTACCAGAAAAGGTCCAGCACTGAAGGATGTATAAAGCACTCAGCCATAGACCAACACAATTAAAAGGATACCAGCCTGATAAAAAAGAATTCAGTGAACTAAATCTGACATGAACACATCAATGAATGAAGGGATCCTCTCAAAAAACATTCAGGTGAAGGTACAAACCTAAGACAAATATTCTTCAACATGCAAAAATGCAAACATCCAATAAAGAACAGAATATTACAGAAAAAAAATCCTGTTTTTAATTAGTACTATAGGCCAAAAAACCTATTTTTTGAGCTTCATGTAAGGGATTGGCCTTTAACTTTCTGTATTTAATAAACTGGTTAACATTTTTGGGGACAGAGCTCATTTGACAGAACCAACCACCCTTCTAGACCTAATATATCATCTTTGAACAGTGGTAAAGCCCAATTAAATTGTCTGAACTGAATGATCTCCTATAAAGTCAGCACATCCAGTCCCTGAGTCAAAGGCCAGTCTAGAAGATGAGTCCAGCACTATTGCACTGCTTAAATATTTAATTGAAAGCTAAATCTCCTGCATAAACCAAAGCCAACATAAGTTAAAACCTGGAATGTATCGAGTGTAAATTTGAAGAGTCATTGGAGAGTGGTCAGATCTGCCTGGGAGTTTAGAACTCAATTTCTAAATGATGATCATGGATGTTTTGGACACTATTTCTTTTTCTTCTCTGTCTCAGTTGCTCTCTCTTCAAACCTCAGGCAAATAACACCTAGCTGAGCCCATTAAACATTGCAGAAGACAACACTGGCTTTTTCTTCTCCAACTACTCCTATATTGACCTGATTGTACTTGCAAATTAACAAATTCTCTTTATTTTAATTACAAACTGGCCTAGGTGGGCTTCAACTGAAGGTTTTGTTCGGTTAATTTTGGATAGAAAATGGATGAAAATGGACAGAAAATTTTGTATCACGAAGAAAATATAATTACACTTGCAAAGACTACAGCAGAGTCTTATTAAAATGCTTTTTACGTGTGAGAAAACCAACTTAGTGCCTCCTTTCTGCTCCAAAGACCTGATTTCTTTAAAGACAACCATTTTTTCCCTACGATATTTATATAAGCAATTGTTTTCCCCTATTTCCTTCACATAATATGGATGGAATGCTAATTGAGAACGAGAGAGAATTCACAAATTACAGGATAACCCAACCTTGAAGAGACAGCACCAGATGGCTGCGCTCGGTGACAGCAAGAGAGCAGTGCCAAGGCAAAAACTCACCCAGGTTCCCCTTTCCCAGAGCTAGGGAGAAATTCCAAAGGAAATCATGCAATGAAGATGATTTACCATTCAAAGTTCTGACAGAATTTTCACTGTTTCTTACCTGATTCTGAGTTTCAGTGAATTGAAAACTGAAATACTTTGATTTTGTGTGGTTATGTTTAGTAAACCTATTCAAGCTTTTAATAAGCTGTGCAATACCCATTTATTCTAGCCTTCATCATGCCAAATCAAGAATCCTTTCATAATCAGTGACATCTGACCAAACTTCAGTGCAAATAATTGAATTTTGTATCAATTACAAATCATTACAGCAGTTGCTTTGTTACTAAAATACATTATAAAAACTAAAAATGATACAAAATATGTCTGAGAAATGTGCCAGAAAAAGAATGTCTGGCTTCAAACAATTGTGCTGAACTCTTTAGCTTTACTATTTTCTTCTCTACATTTTCAGTTATTTTTTCCCTAATGAATTGTACCTTCATGTGGTGATTTTGCACCACTTATTTTGTTTGCTGCAGTTGCTGACTGTGGGATAAATGAAGCTCCCTGAGACAAAATAAGCCCAAGATACACCAGTGACTTTCTGTGCATAGAAAATTAAAATGATAAAATTGCATCAGACACTTTACCTACTTCCCCCTTCCTGACTGAGGGTGGAATGAGGGACGGGGTGAAGAAGGGATAGAGTTTCATGTTTGAAAATACACTATCTAAATCTCTTGGCTGGAAAAAAAGCAATGTTTACCCTTTTGCTGCAAGGCACACTGGATTTCTGTGTTTTGACCAGGCTCAGCTAATGCAGGTTCCATCCTGCTGCTCACTCCAGCAAGGATGATCTGGGGAGTGGAGTATGATACAAATATAATGACCCTGTCCCTTGAGGAAGTTAAAAACAAATGCTGCTGTCACAGGAGCCAACTTTGACAGCAGTTTTTCTTTTGGGACAATTATTTTATCTTTTCTTTCCCTCCTTCCCATTACAGCTCATCCATGTCCACACTGGAAACTAACTGCAACTCATCCCACAAACCCAGGGAACTCTTATGGAGTTACTGTGGGGCACAAAGCTGAATTCTAGAACATTCTGATTCACTGCCTTTTATAGACAAAGAGATGGATCACACAGCTCTCCTCCTTTCCAGTCTGTAAGCTCTTTGTAAATGAGCAATGAATTAATCCATTCACCAGCATTGACAGGGAATTCAGCATTACTATCAAAATTTTCAGAGGGAAACTGAGGCACGGATATAGAAAGACTTATTAAATCCAGCTCTTGTGCTGTCCTGCATCCCCCCTAATCTTTAAAACATCAGAAGCTTCCTTACTCATTAGTGTTAGAGCCCCTCTGGGAAAGCCTGAATGTGCTGACAGCACAAACTACAGGAAAGCCAGTCAATGGGATGACAAAATGTAGGGACAAAAATTAAGTGCTTGATGAAGGTGCAGAAATTACAGTGGGAGACTCGAAAAAGCGAAGGAAGAAGCAGAGGGCAGGGATGAAGGGAAGGACAGGGATGGAAGGCAGAGGGGATGCTCCAACATACTCCATGCTGACAATGGAACTTGCATTCAGAGCAGTGACTGATCAGAACATGTTCCAAAATCTACATGTTTGCAGGGGGGAAAAAAAAAAGCATCTGTGATGAACAGCACAGTCATGACACAATTCCAGACTCCGTCTTTCATTCCCATAGGGCTACAGGGAACACTTTTAAAAAATTTACTGCCATTCCACCTGTCAAGCAACATGACATGCTTTGCAGCTCTGCTCCAGACACATGATATTAACAGCACTGATCAGTCCTTTCAGTACCTGGAAAATATTTTGCTGTCTTGGATACTGGCACAACAAACCCCAACGTGATTTTTTGGTTAATAAAATCTACAAGACCTCATGAAGATTTAATATTAAAGACCAAATAAAACGGACAAATCCTGCCCTCTAATTATACGGTATTTGAGCCTTGCTTAAATGTGCTGCAACAGATTAAATCTGTAATTCTTTCAAAGTCACGAGCACGGGGGAGGAATCTTTGAGGGCGGCTGGAGGAGCCGAGCGATGCCGAGCCCGGCTCCTTTTCTGATCGCTGCACAACGCGCGGTTCAGCAGCTGCTCCCAAGGAAGAGCCTTGTTTCCTCGGAGCAGCGCTTAGAGGTGCTGACCACGGAGGTGTAAATACATCTGTCTTTTGCCATTTGCAGTAATACATGCCTCCTACACTTCTCCCAGCGAGGCAGATGGTCCCTGTCCTGTCGAAATCTTACACTGCACAGACTTCCAGTGCTATGTGTTTGCAGAAATATGAGGGCAGATGTTAAATATGTTAAACACACGCTTTGCCCCCTGGAGGTTTAAGTTAAGGCTGCTGTCTCAATTTGGTCATTTTAGGCATGCCAGGCTTCTTGGATCCTAGGCATTCCTCTTAAATCCCTGCTTTATAAATAACAGCTTTTCATGTTAATTTTGTGTACTTTCATCAAATATTTTGGATGCAGAACAAATGAAGGAAGCTCTCGGCTTACCGTTACAAGGCTACGTGGGCTGTGCTGAAAATTATGATCCTCATTCATGAAAACTCTATTTACACAGCAGGGTATTTCCCATGACTGTTGTTTTCCCCCCTTACATAAGCCTCATTGAGCATTTTAAATTTAATTAGTTTTAAAAATGACATAAAATGGAACAGAGACAGTTTGTGAATAGCATAATTTACCATAAAACTACAAATATGAACACTCCAAATATGTTTTAGATGTTTAAGAATAAAACATTAAATAAAATACTGCAGACTTTTTACAATTGCAATAATTTTAGAAAGGTTTCTTGGCATTAAGGAAACCTTTGTGAAGAATTTCACATTAAATACAACTGTAAACCAAGAGCTTTTTTCCAATCCTTCTTCTCACTGTTCCTATTACCTACCTCCCCTGGCAGGCCCTCAGGTGAATTTTTAATTTCTTTCTCTGCTGTGTCCCACCTGGTTCTAAGTCTCTATTCCAGTTTTGGGAGCCTACATTTATATTTCTGTCCTTCAGTGGCCATATTCTTCAAGCCAGGTTTTTGGTATTTCCCCTCTTTGAGGAACTGTGACTCCTGCCCTGTGACAACCTCCCTCTGATCCTACCTCCCTTCCCATCCTCATCCAGGATCACACCTGGATATGCTTCCAAAATTCACCTGAGCAGCAGCAAAATTTTTTTCACTCAGCTTAAACTGAGCAGAAAACTAAAAAAGCAAAAAATAAGCAACTGAAATGTGCCTGTGGAGGAAGCTAAACCTCAACATGACCCTCAAACTGTTCCTTCACTGTTTCTTAAGTTCCATTTCCAATTATCTGTGAAGTTCAGGAATTTCTCTGTGTGCTTGGGGCAGCTGCGTGTCTGTGGCTCACGTTTGGCTCAACGAGCCCCGTGAAATTCCCGTTTCACGGCAAGGCCAGGAGTGGATTGTTGGACAGACACGAAGGGATGCACACGTGCACAGCCCAGCTCCTGCCTGCCAGCACTCACACCCACTGCACCCAGCTAGAGGGGATTTTACAGCATGTCCTGAACTCCAGCACAAACATGGGAATTACACAGGGAGAGAGGGAATATCCGTGAGCTCTCGCCTGAAAAATAATTCCCGGTTCATGAAACACAAGGGAAAATTCACTTCGTGAGCAGGGTTTGAGCAAAGAAAGCACTGAAGCAAGGGAGGCAGTGCCTGTGTTTGCCAAAATGCAGGAAAAGGTTAGGAAGCTGTAGGACTCACAGTTGTTTTGTCCAACCACATGCCATGCTCGGATCTACTTTCCTTAAAAATATAAAAGCCCTCTGAAAACTAATGGATCAGGTTTTTAACTGGAAAATATTCAGGAATTCAAACAACCAGAAAATGAGAGAGGAAAAATATAATCATCACACTGTAGCTTTAATTACAATAAAAGAATATTTAAAGTTTAGCAAAAGAAAAATGTCCGCTGTTAGACAGTATTAATTAATTTTAAATTGCTATGGTTTATGAAGCTCATAAAATCTTAAAATATATATATATATTTAGAGAAGCTTTTCCCAAAAAATACTTTGAAGTACTTTATCATGGCACATGAGAAGTAGTGTAGCTGACTCTGGAGTGGAAATCCACCCAGTCCAGAACAGTGCAACAGAGGAAAAATAAGGTCAAGAAAACAGTGGGATTAAGTTTTGCCTTTCTGCTGAACCTGGCTTACTGTCTTTCTAGCTCTGACGGTCAAAAATCGTTTCTGCTTGAAAAGGTTGGAAATCAAAATAAACAAACTTGGGGAAAAAAGTAAAGCCATATTTTATTCTGATTGAATACAGCTCTGCTTATGTTTCATTCCAATTCCTGGTGTGAAAATGTCTCCTGACCCACCCAAATGAATATTCCTGAATTTACAGAGGTTTGTTTTCAGGCTGTATTTATTTATCTGACGTTTTCAGTCTCCTCTTCCTCCCAGCCCTCTTCTGCTGCTATTAAATTACATACACTGAAATTAAAATATAGAATAAAACTAATTCTCACTAATAACACAAATGATTTCCACATGAATCACAAAGGCTGAGGAAGGTTTGTGCCACTTACCCTGTGCGTTTGGTGATGGTCCCTAAGGTCATTGGCTGCTTGATTTGAGCAAGAGGCAACACCACAGTCAGACTTGGGAGAGGCAGGAGTCGAGGATTCCCAGGATTGTTGTTTGTGAAGTTATTGTAAGTGTCTTGGCTGTTCAATTTACCTTGATGGGATAGAGATGCAATAAAACACGTTACTGGGAATTTTTCTTCATTTATCATTTCTACATCTGCCTGAAATAAGATAAAAAAGACCAAAAAAAAAAACCCCATAAACAAGCTGCTGTCGTAATACAAGAAAAAAATCTAAAAAAATAATCTTCATTTCAGATAAAGAAAAAATTAAAATGGAAGAAGCAATTACTAATTTTACATATGGGGATAAGGAAGGATTCTTTTCCATGCAAGGGAAATTATTCCTGCTGCTGCTGCTGCTTGTCTGGCAGTTTTGTTCACCGAAAAGTTTTCGAGTTCGATTTGAAGGACAAGCTCTGGATTCCAATTCTCTGTTTAAAAAAAAAGGAGTAGCTGGAAGGGAATTATTTTCCTAAAGTACCACATACAGTGTTGGTAATTGGAAGTCCTGAAAAGGTCGCTTTTGTTGTCTCGACGGATAAAGACATACAGAATAATCATCTGCAGAACTAAGGCTGGAGGGAAATATCAAGTAACTATGTCAAATAAAGCCACGCCAAACTAGATGTAAAAATCAAAAAAAGTATCAAAAAAGTAACAAATTTCATATTCATTCAAAAAGACGAAAATGAAACACAGGTACTGAAAAAAAGGAAAGGGAAAACATAACAAAAAAAGCCCTCAACAACCCTAAATTTAGCTGATTTCAAAGAGGTCTGTGCTGGATGGACGCCCAGTTTGGATACGCTTTCTTACTCGCTGTATCACTCTGTAGTCACAACCTTTCATTCTTCAGTTGGAAAAGGAAACTAGCTCCAAATTTCATGGACAGTAAAGAAAGAAATGTGAAGAAACCAAAGAAAGAAGTTAAACAAAAAAAGGGGCCAGTCTGTTTATAGCAGAATCAAAAGTACTTTAAATAGACAAGCAACCATGAATTAAAAGGTTTAGATCATTAACTTGTTTTTCTGTGTTCCTGTAATGCTGTGAAACGCTGGCTTTGTTCTTAATCAAAAGGGAACCATATTGGGAATTAGGTTCCTAAACAACCGATGCATTCTACACAGATATTATACAAATCCCAGGCCAAATCCATACAATCTGCCTCAAGAGCAGCCACCTTTTTTCAAGGAAGAAAAACAGCACAGCAAAGGGTTTCTCACAGGAAGCTGCCTGAAAAGCTTTAATGGTACTTCAGATGGATTGAAAATAGGAAAAGGAAGGCGGAAAAATCTTAATGAATGTCTCATCATCCTAAAGACACTCAATGCTTCCTTCACCCTTCTTTTAATACTATATAACTGTAAGCTTGGGGGTTTTATTTGGGTTTTTTCTGCAAAGCCCCCAGACCTCTGCGTCTCAGAGAAGCACAATACCAGAAATGATGAAATTACAAAGTGTATTTTGTGATAAGTATCTGGCCTGAGCATCCATCAATACGTTTTAAGAGAAATAGAAAGGCTTTAATGAAGAACAAGCCTATTGAAGTTCCCAGGGAGCAGATTTCATTAATAGCAATTTTCCTGCACCAACTTGGAATACAAAGAAAAAGGAAAAGGAAAAAAAAAAACCCAGCTCAGTTTTAAATAAGACTGAGATGCAATTATTTTTTTTAAATTAGTTTAATAATTCATTTTTTTTTGTTTTTTTTTTTTTTTCAGAAAGGCATATGAATAGTTTTGTGCACTATTGTCTAATTAGTCAGTGTTCCTGCAGCTAAGGCCTCTCTGGAAGTGTCTCCCTCTCCCATATTCCCCTGGATCCACATGGGCACAGCAAACACTGACAGTATCCACTGAGGGGGCTCCAAATGTCTGTAATTTGTTTTCTATTACTTGTCCAGAATCTAATGATTAACTCTGAACTACTGAGCCACAGGCTGGGTTGGAAGAGCCCCCTCTCCCCTCTCAAGGCACATTTCATGTCTCAGTGCCCTCTGCCCCCAGCTTCATGTGGTTTTCCATATGCAAAGCCTTCAGCTGATTCCATGGATTATTGCATGCAGAGAAATGAGGAATTTGCAGACATCATTCCTACACAAGGATGAGCTGCTTTGCTTCCATACAAGTTGAGGACTCCCAGAGCAGTTAAGGATACTTAGAAAACTGCAGGATTATCTCATCCCTTCAGAGGTTTTTATTAATTGTAGGAACAACATCTTACAAATTCTTGAGTCTTGAGTCTATAGACTCATATATAAGGAAACAATAAACCTCCCAAAAAAGTACTAAATAAAAAAAAGAATGAAAATGTGTAAATGTGTATTCTGAAAGGGACTAAAATATAAGATGATTCTTCTTTGAGAAAGAAACCAAAAACATCAGGAGGTCAAGGATTTAATTTGTAACTATGTATTTGGAACTATAGCTAAATCTGATGTATGCAAACCTCAATAAAAATTAACTAAACCAGACCTCAGAACACACAGCACTTCACAGCACAAACATGATAAAAAAATTCTGCTGTGACAAATGGAAAAGCTGTAAATACCAAACATATGTCACAATAACCATTGCCTGCCAACCTGCATTTTCTGCTGCAACAGTCAGTTGCTTCACTGCAAAAAATGTAATTAAAAGTGATACTAGTCAAAAATTAAAAGTTGGAATGCTACAAAGAGGAGAGAAATTATTTTTGACAGGAAAGTTGTTCCTTAAATCTGACTACAATAGTATTAAGATGGTGGGGATGATTAAGGTTAAAGAAAACCCCCTAATTTTCTGACGTGCTGCTGTACCCATCCAGGAATCCCAAAAATTACCCTTTTGTTCTTCCAGCCCTTCCAAGTAGGAAACTCCTGCAGCAAACAGGAGTTGTGTGTGCACAGGGCAGTCAGATCGGGCCAAAAGAGCACAAAGAATGCAGTCAAGCATCAACATTATTTCTACAGCTCAAGCCGTTGTTGATTCACTGTCAAAGGACAAGCAACAAATAAGCCAAAGTTTAAGTCTGGTAGAAATATCCAGAGTTTTTCATCCAGCAGAATGCTGAACTCAAGTTACCTCCTGACATGTGGACAGTGCATTTAACTGTAAATGGCTGGAGACTGACACACAGAGATCTCACCCTACAGACTACTCCAGGAATGCTTTCATTGCAATCAATCATCAGCATCACAATTCCAGGGCAAACACGTCCCCTCAAGGATCATTTCCAGTGGAGCATCCTGAGCAAGGAGGCACTTTCCCTTGGTAATCACCCAGAGCCCTCAGGACCTCATGCAACACATGGGGTCAAGTATTTGTCTTTCCATGGGGTGCCATAGAGGAAATTTTCGTATCAGAGCTGTGCATGGGATACATTAAAGCCAGTCTAGGCTGGTATATCTCTTACTAATTTTACTAAGGGACTTCCAAAAAGCTGGGGATACCATGGCTCTGGAGTCTGACAAGTTTATTTGCAAGTGCAGCCTTACACTGGGCAAACATTGCCTGCTGAGACACTGAGAACCCAATCCATTGGGGGGTTTGGACCTGTTTGCTGAGAGTCTGCGAAACCACCACCATCTCATCCCCCCAAAACCTGAGCCACTCTTTTCCAGACGTTTCATTCCACTGACAATCAAAGGAGAAATGGATTAAGCTGAGGATAAAAGTGAAGAAAGAAAACAACAATGGGCTTTGTTGTCAGAGGGAGGGAGCGGCCGCCGGGCCGAGCTGTATTCCCAAAGCGGCCATCACTGACAGACTCACTTCCACCGAGGAAAAAAGGGAGGCCCGCAAGTGCCGGACAAAAGAAATCCCAGCAGGCAAAGAAAAAACAAATTAAAAGCACCATTATAAAATACAGATGCTATAAGGAAAATAAACTTCACAAGATTTAGTGGGTTTTGACAAAGCTGGACATCTGTGGAAAAGCCATCAGGAGCAGCTCTCCCAGGTATGGCTGGAGAGGCTCGGGATCCCACGGCATCGCTTCCCTCCTCAACCCCTGGGCAGAGACACCCTCAGCTCTCCACAAACCTCAAATGTTGAATCTGTAGGCCTGAATGTGAGATTAAAACATTTGATCAAGTCACACGTTTTAAAGTTTTCAATATGTATTTTTGGATATGAAAGGAAAGCTACATCAAGGAGAAAACATTCAAGAGTTGCAAGCTTGTAACACTGTTCAAAAAACAATCTATCAACTGAAAGCAATTAATACAGTTACATGTCCTTTTCTGATCAACTAAGAGCCTTGATGAATTCAGGCCAGATTTCAAATTGGTCAGTGTTTGAGCAGAGCACTTGAGGGCACTGCTGTCAGAGATCATCTCTGAGGAGAGGAGGAGAAACGCCCTGATTTTTGGCACTACTAATGACACAAGTGGACATCAAAATGCAGCTTGGCAGGAACATTCCCCAGCCCCAAGGATTGCATTCAGCAGCAACACAGTGTGGCAAAAAGACTTTATAGGATCCTGAAAGAATGATGTGGAGGAAGCCTCTGTTACTCAGCTCCTCAGTCCACGCACAGCACCACATTAATGCAACCAAATCACTTCTTATCTGATTTCAGCTGAGTTTGAATCTATCAGTACCACAAATCCCATTTGTGCATGGAAACGGAACTCCTAAATCACAGCCAAGCTTAAAACCAAAACTACACCCTCACACCTAAGGGATGCAAACATCAACTTATCAACAAACTGAAACTAAACCCTTTTACCTGTTAAATTTCAGCATGTGTAAGACAGGTCTCCAAGTGCTGCAGAATTTTCTTTGGTGTAAAATGTCAGTGAGCAAAGCAAAGAGGGCTTGGCTCAGACAATTTTTTTTCTGGTAGGAAAGTAATGATCAGAAGGATTTTAGCTTCTCTGTACACTTTATTTGAAAAACTAAAGTGGTATCAAGCACCTCTCAGCCTTATAATAAAATGCTTCTATGTTGATTTTTTCCATTTTTCTTCCATTACTCCAATACAAAAAGCTTAGTAATGCAGTGTCATTAAAATTCAAACCCTACTTGATTAGCTTTTATATCTTCCAGTATTTAACAGACTCCATTTCAAAGGGTACCACGAAGTCTACTGACATTAACACTACATA